AGTATTTTATAGTCGAGATGTTGTTTTTGATGAGATGAAGCTAGGATTTGAGAAGGAGCAAGATGAGTCTATCACTGAGAATAGTAATCACTTTGGAATCGATCTAAATTCCAATCAGACAGATAATGCAGAAGATGCTGTACCAGATCAGAATGATGTACCAGATCAGAATGATGTACCAGATGCTAAAGAAACAAATACCGAGACAGAAGGAGAAACTGACAGTCAAAAGATCTCATTGTGAAAGGAGACGTCCTGATTATTATGGTACTTGCATCTATACAGCACATTCTCAGAGAAGAGAACCACAGTCTGTAACAGAAGCTATGACAAGTAATGAGAGAGAGAAATGGTCTGAAGCAATGCAAGGAGAATTAAAGTCAATCGAGTCAAATAAAGCATGGGAGTTAGTTAAATTACCAGAGGGCAAGAAACCCATTGGTTATAAGTGGGTTTACAATGTTAAGACAGGAGCTGATGGTCAAGTGGAAAGATACAAAGCTCGACTTGTTGCCTTGATTATGATGAGACATTCAGTCCAGTAGCTAGATTCGAATCAGTACGTCTAATACTTGCTCTAGCTGTACAGAATGGTCAAACAGGTCTCCAAATGGATGTAACTACAGCCTTCTTGAATGGCTTTCTTGAAGAAGAGGTCTACATGGATCAACCTGAAGATTATGTTGAGAAAGTGAAGGAGAAGCTGGTCTGTAGACTCAACCACAGTCTCTATGATTTGAAGCAAGTTCCAAGATGTTGGAACTCAGTTCTTGATCAGAAGCTAAAGGAGATTTGATTCTTTCAAACCGTTAGTGATCCCTGTATCTACAAAGCTGTAAGTGGAGATGATTTTATTATTGGTATGTACTACTAGCAGAAAAAAGTAAAGACAATGATTGAGGTCAAATCTGTTTTATCAAATATGTTTGAGAAAGACCTTGGAGAGCTAAATTATTTTGATAGGTCAAGCCACATTCAACGACACTCGAACTAAGCTAATTAATGGAGTGAATATGTTGACAACCAATCATTAGTTGGAAGTCTGCTGTATCTCTCAATGACAGACATCACATGCAGTGAGTATCACAGCATGTTTTTGCTCTAACCCAACCACGCAACACATGACAGCAGTCAAACGCAATTTAAGATATCTGAGAGGCACTAGCCACTATGGTTTATTGTACAAGAGAGGTGGATCTAAAGATTTGATTGGGTATTCTGATTCTGATTGGGGATGTGATAGGAATGACTGCAAGTAAACATCTGGGTTCCTCTTTCATTTATGAGGCACTCTGCTTTCACCTGGCAGAGCAAAAAGCACACTTCTGTTGCACTCTCTAAGGCAGAAGCCTATATAGGTCTAGCTGGAGCTGCACAATATGCTGTATCGCTTAAGCTTCTCTATCAAGTGATAGCTGATACACTAGACAAGCCAGTCTTAATAAATGAAGACAACCAGGAAGCTAATGCTATATCAAGGAATCCTCAGTATCACAGAAAGGTAAAACACATTGATATTAAGTATTATTTCATCCGTGAACAAGTACACAATCTTAATATCGAATTACAATACTGCTGTACAAGTAAAACGATAGCAGATATGCTCACAAAGGGACTAGGAAGAGTACAACTACAGAAATCGAGAGAATTAGCTGGTATCAAAGAACTAACAGTCTGCAAGTGAGAAGGAGTGTTAGTATATGCGTATATATTCGTTTTACTCTTTGGACTGTACTTTTTATTGTATGTAACCACAAGTATGTAAACTGATGTAATATGATGTATTGTGATGTGTTGCATACACTCCTTATTTAAAGCTGTACAATCTATTATTCCTTTCAGCTATTGTTACCGTTTTATTGTTGTGCTGATTATTGCAAGAGCTAAACCTTTTAACAAGAACACATGGTTGACCTACATCATGTCACAAAGGAGACCAGATAGATTGAATTAGCTGAAACAGATGCTTTGCAGATATGAAAAGTTGAGGATAGTCTTTTGGACATCTCTTGCAGATTTGAGAGCAGCAACTTTTTGCAGTATTTACTTTTTATTGCTCCAATGCTCCAATGGTAGTAGGCAGTAGAGGACAGTTCACATTTGGTGGTTTCTGCTTCAAAAACTAATAACTTCACTTTAAAAGTAACTAAACATATTAAGTTAAGTCTGTCTAAGTATACATGTATATTATATAAGGTTATATAAATCAATGTTTTTCGTGTACGTCAGTCACAAACAAAAATAAACAATAACAACAACTATAAACAGCAGAATAAAATTTTATCCAAGTAATATTTGCAGACAAATCAGATGATTAATATAAGAATATACACAGTTGTGTTGCATGTAACAAATCACAGACTTTTAACCTAATATAACATACGTGTCTGAATACGTCCGTCACAGGACAATAAGCTTCTTTCCAGCTGTCACATAAAAAAAATCTTACTTATGACTACATGGTACTAATGTGTAATACAGCCTATTGAATGTAAATTAACAACTAAAATATATAAGCATATTAAAACTTATTAATTACTGTAAAATTTGTACGTCCGTCACAATGAAATTTCCCAAAAGTGAAAATGTTAGTCACAGCCTGAACTAACTAGGACTGGATGGACTACATTGCTGCAGTTGCCATATCGTTCATGCAGTGACTACTTCTTAATGCTTCCTAAATGCTAAACTTGAATTCATGTATTGACAAAGGTACATCAAGAACTACACAAGACTATCAAGTTCTGGGTTGCTTAAGTTGCACAATCATGCATGAGTATTGTCAGTCTGTCAATCTCTATAGTGTATGTACATTGCTTTGCTTGCATAGGCTCGCCCCTTTAATTTTTTACATTTGTCTAGTGTTATTAAATTCTTGGTTATGAATACCGCCCACCAAACAACTACAAATGTTGTTAGCATTGTGCATGACCTTGCCCAGACTTGCCCCAATTATGAACTTGTCAACTTAGTCTATGTCTATTAACACCTTTCTGTGAAAGGAAATATGATAGGGCTGTTTCATTATTGACACACACTAGTGCTGTTCTTGAACTATAGCAAAAGTAATTCTTGAATGTCATTTTAAAAATTTAGCTCTGAGAACTAGATCTAGAACTTAAAATACATGTAGAAAAACTAGAGCTTTGTCAGAGGGTGTCAGATAACTAAAACTACAACTAAAATATTAAATTATTAATACAGTAAATTTGAAAGTACAATGAGAACTAAAAAAATGGAACTACACACTACACAGCTTTCACATAAATTCATCATGGAAGGGATTAAAGCCACAGCGAAAGCTTCAGTTGTAAGGCCCACAAAAAGCATGGTGTGCAATTACTTCAATCACATAAAAGAGTCAGGCACAAGTGTCTGTAGATAGAAGACTCTGAAGACTTATGTGGCAAGAAAGTTTTATAAAGAAACATTTGAAATTCCTTTAAGTGCTTGTGTTTGTGTTTAAATACATTGCTTTGCCCCATGTCTGACTAGTACTGCAGTGTAATAATGGGTACTAGAACAAGCACTAAACATTAATAGTATGGAGTACTGAAACTACATTATGTATGCTGCAATGTAAAATGTTATGTACTGTATGTAATATAATAAGTATGTAATTATAGCACTATTCAGACTACCTTAAGGTACTTGCTATTACAATAATTTTCTGATTTTTATCAATAACTATTACTACATACTACATGTACATGCATCACATACTAAACTAAGCACATGCTAGGAACAGCGCACTATTAAGCGCTGTAAGCAGGATTAAGTCTAATAGAAATAAAGAAAGACAGATGGCAACACTAGGTAGGCCTAGGAACAGTAAAATCTGGAACTAGTTTGACTTTCATAAAGGAGCTCAGAAAAGCAAATGTAAGGTTACAGTCCCTCTTTCAGCTGGAAATGGAGATAGCAGTCAAGACATGTCTACCTGTGGTGCGAAATTTACTGGTTTCTATTTAACCAATCACCTCAAATCTCACTACAAAGAAGAGTACCAGAAAATTCAGGACATAGAAGATGAAGGAGCGAGCACACTTGATACCAATCACACTTAGTTAACTTTAGCAAGAGTCACAAAAGCACTTGTCCATTACACGAAAGTTGGCCATATGTTTTGGTGGAACTAATCATCCACTGAGTCTTGTTGAGAATGAGCTGTTTGGCAGATTAATAGAGGAACTCCATCCAGGTTACCAGTGGCCTCAATGGGAAAAAATTGGTACTGCGATCGAAAGGCTCTAGACATCATGAAGACCAAGGCAATGATAGAAAATGCATGACACATTTCTCTGTGCTGATATATGGACAAAGCCTGGAATGCGGGTTTCTCTTCTTGGGAGTAACAGCTCACTTTTACACCAAATGTAACAACCAATGTCATCATACAACAATAGCTAGAAAAAGGTTCCCATCACCCCACACCAGTGAATGTATAGCTCAGGCTTTAGAAGAAATTTTGAGGGAGTGGGATATACCACAGGAGAAGATTATCCGAATAATAACAGATAACGACACTCACATGATTTATGCATTCATAAAACATGCTGACAGGGAGGAGGAAAAGGAAGTGATTATGAAAGTACATGTATTGTCAAAAAGTCATTGACGACGACTACTGAGATTGAAGGCTGGAAGGTAAACTAAA